TCTCAGACCAATCAAGTCTCTAGAAAAATTGCCCGTTAAAATTTAAATTCATGTTTCATATGAAAAGTTCTTATCCACAAAGGAGATAAGACAGTATTCAGGAAGAAAAAAAAAAAATAGAGAAAAAGTAATGAGGATCCCAAAATCAATCGCAGGATGGAAAAAGTAGTGACACACATCTCCCTGAGATGTTATTAAATGTGCAACCTTACCTCAAACACTTTCCAAATACAAGGTTATATAGTATCTGCACATTATAATTCTAACCTCTTTATAAATAAGATCCAAATGTTCTTAAGGTTTTAAGCATGTCTAAGCATGATGCTGTTTTCTGAATGAATACGGTTTTGTATTTACATAATAAACAGAGTATAAAATAAATTTCTGTAACTCAATAAAAAGATATTTATTTCTATTATACTGGTTTTGCCACTTTAAAAATGTTCTACTGTGACAAATATCTTTCAATAATTGCTTCTTGGTCCTGTTAACTGTTATATCTTAATAGATTTTCTGACTCTAAACCATCTATGCAACCTAGAAAAGAGGATCTACTTGTTTATATAATATCAATATATTTTAAGGTAGCCCACAATTACATTCATTTATATTTAATACAAATTTTATACCAATACTTAAATGACACTAGTATGTAGTTCTGAACACTTGTGTGTGCTATATACGTCAAGTTTTATATAGCACTGTCATGGATTAGCACAAAACACAGAACTTGCAAGTGTTCCTCCTTTATGCACTAGAAAAGGGCTCACAAACCAAGTCCTGTGTGCCCCTCTGGCGCAGCTCCTGTTTCACTGCATCACAAATGCTCACGTAAGCATTGTCTCTGGACACTTTAACACTATGAAGACAGCGCTGCATGGTGGAGACTTGGAGCACTGATGGCCCAGTATTCTACAGAAAAAAAAGGTCTGCTGATCCCCACTCTAGAAATGCCTTGTTTAAAACAACAGTCTCAAGCCATATGTGGCTACCAAGCACCTGAAATGCGGCTATTTCTAACTGCTGAGTGTAAAAGACAATCTAAATTTCAAAGACCTAGTGTGAAAAGAAATTTAATACCACAGTATGTTTTGACTAAAATGTTAATGACAGTATTTAAACATGATATTAAATATAGTGTTTAATTAAAATGAATTTCAACTATTTCTTTCACTTATTTCAGTGTGGCCACTAGAAAATTTCAAATTTTACATGTGAATAACACTGTATTTCTATTAGACAAAACTAACCTAAAATAAACTCAAATAGAATCATATTCTTTGAAAAAGAAGGAAATCCTCTTTTTAACTACAATGGGACCTCTAAGACAGAGATAACTTATGGTGCATTTGCTAGTATCATCATCGTCCTTCTCTTCATAGTAGAAGTAGACAAAAGGGATCCAGAAGAACACACAGAACAAGATAACAGAATACAGAGCTGTGGAAATAAATCACACACTGAGTGCTGCTGAACGCATATGTACTCATCCCAGTCACCCACCTGTATGTGCACGTGTGTGTTTACTTGTTCACTTGGCAAAGTCCCTCCCCATCCAATTTCCTATATTCCTGTTTGTCTGTGTCCTATTCAGACAGACTCTGTTCTTTCCCATCCCAAGAAATCAATAGCACTATGAGAATAACACCTCAACTATGAGGAATAAGTAACAAACATGGTGATGATAATTGAGCCAACAATAACTGGCAGCTACCTTCGGAGCTTTTGTTGTATACTAACCTCAGTACTTACAAACATCCTATGAATCATCTCATTTAAATTAACTTTCTTATTTATGCCAACTTAAACTGAGGACAGATGACCCAACATTTACCAGTCACTC